AGGCGGGAGTAAGGGAGGGGGGGGGGGGGGGGGGGGGAAGAGAGGGAGTGGGAAGGACCGACCCGACCCTCCAGATTGCAGTGCAGCTGCTCAAAGTAGTGGCACAACTGGCCATTGTGCAGGCCTGGTGCAGTTCTTTCATCATGCACACCTGCTCCTGGGTGCACATGTGGCCCTTCCAGCTCAGGTTGGCAGCCATCCAGCCATAGACTTTGGCATTCCTATGCCTGGTGCAGAGATCCTGGGGGTTAGCCTCCTCTCCCCAGACCTCAGTGAGATCCAGGATCTCTTCACTAGACCAGGAAGGGCCCTCATCTTCTACCCCTGGCCAGGGGCTTCAAAGTTGGCTGGCAGATTCCTTGCAGCCCTGGGGTGGGGGTGGAGGTTCAGTGGGAGTGCTGGGATCACTCATGGCTGCATTGACGGGTGCTGCTCTGTGTCACAGGGCTGATGTGGTGCCACATGCAGTTTCCCTTCTGGCTGCACCTTTAAGGCTGCATGGGAAGGGAAACTATAGAGTTCTGAGGGGTATGAAAAGAGCAGCCAGCAGGGCAGCTGTGAGAAGCCCTGGAGGCCAATTATTTTGAAATAAGCACAGCTGCGCTGCCCACACTCACCCCATTGTAAGAGGTGTTATTCCTCGTGAAATGAGGGTTTACTATTTGGAATAAGAAGCCTGTTATTTTGAAATAATACACTTGCTGTATGGACACTCATCTTGTTATTTTGAAATAACTGTAATGTAGACATACCCTGAGAGAGTAGAAAAGGGATAGCAGGGGAGCAGGAGGACAGTCTGAGAAGAATTAACGCAGCAGGATGAAGCTTGTCACACTTATTCTGCCATAAATCATTCAGCTCTGCCAAACCTCAAATTTGAGGCCACCTTGCATTCAAATTGCACACACATTGCATTGTAGTTTTACCCATGTTGAGTCCTAAATAAATACAGACATCAAGTTACAGGCTGATAAACACCTGTTCCTAGTCCAAGCATGTTTTGGTGACTAGTTTGAGCACTGAGCTTCTAGTGATGTCACTTAGGCACTAGCAATCACTGATCATGTGCAGTTCTTACCATCGAGCAAGTACAGAGCCCAAACCTTGGTTTTCCAAATTTAAGCAAACCTCAGTTTTCCAAATTGTTCATGATTCTGACAGGAGTGGTCACATGAGTAAGCATTGTAGGATTAGGCTCATAAATCATTTCACTGCTTCAGGTGAAAGCCAGGTCTGGTGTTTTGCATCTATTGTGAAGTTAGAATGTCAGTCAAAAAGTTTGGAACCGGAAGGACTAAGGGCTTTTTTACACTATAGAGTAATGGGATGATTATGTTGCTACAGCACCATAGGTTAAGTACTTTCTACATTTCTCTATTGCTGTAGGTAATCCACCTCCCTAAGCAGCAGCAGCTAGGTCAACATAAGCATTTTTTATTGACCTAGAGGTATTTACACCAAGGTTAGGATGGCTTAGTTATGGCCCACAATGGTGTGAAAAATCTTCACTTCCATTTTTAATACCTCTGAGCAAAGCCAAGGTGTCAGTCAAAATTATAAGTATGTCAGGGCTTGGTGATAT